CCTCAAAACTACTTGGCTTGGGTTAAAAAACAGAGAAGTAGATTGCTGGAAGAGGTGAGACAAGCAAGAAACAGAAACAAACCAAAACAGTAAATAGTTCAGTGCCTAATAAACCCAAGGCCATAAATCAATAGGGGAACAGCTTTCTTTCTGATAAGAAATTCTGGGAAAACTATAAAGTATTTAGTCACAAATTAGGTTTTAGAAAATATCTTTTACATAACCTGAGTATAAATAATCACACCACCAAAAATTAAGAAGAGAATGAGATCAGTACCTTTCACAATTATGGCTATGAGAATTCTTAACCAAAAGTAAAAGATATAAGGAGGCAGGAGCGGGAGGTGATTGAAGTCAAGGCAAAAGGCATCAATAAAAACAATTTTTTGAAAGTCACAAAAAGGAACAATTTTGGTGAAGAGGAAAAAGAGGAGTCTTTTGAAGAGACGTGTAGCAGAACTGAGAACTCCCCAAACACGTTAAGATTTTTGGAACACACACAGATAAAACAAAAGCAAAGGCAGGGAGGTACTGGAGAGCTTTCTGGTAAGAACACCAGGAGAAGCGCTAACACTCAGAAGGACTGAGACCGAGGAGGAGCACTATGGACAACAAAATAGATTTCTTAGCTAGACTGAAAACGAGGCCACTCAAAAAGGGATGGGATGGTTGCCTGAGGTGGCTGGAACAGTGATCGCTGACCACAGAGGGAAGGAGGGACTCTACTGAGATTCTGCTTTATCTGCCGCCGAGAAGGACCTTTGGATTGGAAAGGAGAGAACAAAAATGACTCAGCAGGGTGTTAACCGTCAAAGATAAGAAAGGTGATAGTCAAAGAGGACCCAATGAGACCCCCCCCTTCAAGGATTCAGAAAATGGGCAGGTATGAAGGCCGAGCCCTTGCCAGTGACCTCTGAAAGATGGGGGAGAACAGGACAGGTACTAGAGCACTGAAGGTCAACGTCCTGGCCTGTTTTCAAAAAAGAGAATAGAATCTGCAAGTAAATGATGGGCTAATGAGCTTGATTTCAACTCCTCAAAACATCCTAGACCATACTATTAGAAACAGTTTGTGAACATCTAGAGAAGGAAGAGGCTGTCAACTAGGATGGTTTCAGCAAGCTTCTTTTTCTGATGTGGTTACTGAAGGAGCAGGTCAGGGGAAAGCTACAAATACAGCTGTGGGGCAGGGGGAGGGAGAGCTGGGTTTTTTGGAGACAGGGTCTCCCCATCTCACTCAGGTTGGAAGAGCACCCGCCACTCCTCGGCCCAGTGCTGTTACTGATCGGCATGGCTTCTCTACTCCTTTGCCAGCCTGAGGCACCCCGTTCCTAGGAGCTCCCCATAGTGCTGCCAGAGTTACTGAGGACTCCTGACAGGATTTAGCCCTCCCGCAGTTCAGAGCTCCCGAGGAGCAGGGATTACAGAAGTGACCTCCTCATGCCTGGCCTAAATAGTTTTCTTAGATTTTAGCTGTGTTTGATGAAATAGCCCCTGCAGTTCCTATCAAAAAGTTGGTAAGGTCTCTTTTTTTTTTTTTTAGGCAATTGGGGTTAAGTGACTTGCCCAGGGTCACACAGCTAATAAGTGTCAAGTGCTTGGTCTGAGGCCGGACTGAACTCAAACTCAGGTCCTCCTGATTTCAGGGCCAGGGCTCTATCCACTGCGCCACCGAGCGCCCCTCCTTCTCCTGCTGCTCGAGGAGCCAGCCACCACCAGGAACGATACTGTAACCACCAGAACCAAGAGGTTCACAACAGACAAGACTTCTTCCATATAAACAGATGGATGGTTAGAGATGGCCACTATCCTGGAAAGGCCACAGTGCCTAAGACTGAAATTCGAGAACAGTCGGCCAAGACACACAAGACAACTCCAGAAGTCATTTTTGTCTTTGGATTCAGAACCCAATTTGGTGGTGGCAAAACAACACAGGCTCTGACATGATTTATGATCACCTTGACTATGCAAAGAAAAATGAAGCAGAAAACAGACTTGCAAAGCGTGGCCTTTATGAGAAGAAAAAGACATCAGGAAAACAGCAACTGCATGGACTGGAAATGGACTTAATGGATAGATCTGAAGTCCTGGATGACAGCGTGTAAAGAAGAGATCTTCAGTGGCACGTCCCACTAATTTATGCATAGCCCTCTCATGGGTAACATTTTTATCAATGGTTTAGATAAAGGCCCAGATAGAATCCTTATGAAATCTGAGGAAGCTAAAAGTTGAGGAGGGAAAGCTAATGCACTGGATGAGATGAGTCAGGATCTAAAAAGACCACGGCAGGTTAGAGGATTAGGCTGAATCTAATTAAGATGAAATTTATTACACTTGAGTTTGAAAAAAAAAATCATTTCTTTGCAAGAGGAAGCAAGTTGTCTGAAAAAATCTGGGGGTTTTAATGGATGGCTAGTCCCCTGGGTCAGCATCGACGTGTAAGCTCTGGGGATCTCAGGCTCCAGGACCAACGAGGTGACAGCCTCACTATCCTCAACCCTGGTTTGACTCCATCTGAATTCTGAGTTCAGTGTGGGGCATCACGGTTTAGGAAGGGTACTGGTGAAAAACCTGAAGTCTGCTTCACACGGACACTGATTGGAGGAAATGGAGGTGCTAGTGTCGAGAAGCCTGAGGAAGGAGAGGACGGACAGCTACCATCAGGTCATCACGGAGGAGGAGACGAGACGTGACTGAACACAGGAGGGGCCACCACAGCAACCCACACACTCAGGTCCCTGTTAGTGAAATCACGAATCCCCTGAAGGAGACCCATGGATCTGGATGTAAAATATGGTCGCTGGTTCCAGCTCAATGGAAGTAAGCCATGTGAATCTGAACAATGCAACCCAGTCAGGGGAATGGCTATCTGCACTCATTCTGGACCTACCTGGGCTTACTGATTTTGCCTGGCCCTACAGGGAAGAACTAAGAGCACTGGGCAGAAGCTGCAAACAGGCAAACCGAGGTCTGATGCCGGGAAACACTTCCTAACAATTCGTGGGGGCTCTTTTTCCAGGGAGGGGGTGAGACCAGTTCCAATTCTGACACTGTGTGATTGTGTCCCTCCATCCCTGAGGGCCCCACCCCCTCACATCCCTTCCCTGCTAGCAGCTCAAGCCTGTCCCATCCCACCAATCTTCCTTACTGTTTAAGCCTGTTTATGAAATGCCTCCCCACAATCCAATCACCACCCTCTGCCTCTCATTTTCAAGCCTGCACGTTATGGGTGGACGACCTCTCTCCACTGCCTCCTTCTCTTCCAATCCGAGCACTGGCTGACACTAAGATCTCCTCTTCCTAACTTCACGCCCCCTTCAGGAAGCACAGGCACCTGTCAGACATCCTGCACGGAGCTTCCCCCGGCAGCGGGCCCATCCCAGACCGTCTTTTGCCCTGGTCTATGCCCCTGCTTGGGCACTGCTCCCTCTGTGGCCCACTGGAGCGCTCCCCCCAGGCATTCCAGGCTCCATTCTCGTCCTTCACCGATGGCCAAAGCATCTTCCTGATGCACGGATCAAATGATGTTCCTCTTCTCTCAAACCCTTGGACGGTCCCAAATAGTTTAAATGCCTTGGCCTGGGACTCAAGGCATGTCCCAACCTGGTACCACTTTCCCTTCCAGGCTTCCATGCCTTCTTGGCTCCAGCCATGTGGACTGGCCTTGCTTTCCCCTGGCATGTTTTGGTCACACTTTTCCATGGGCCTAGAATTCTGACTTCCTCTCCCATCCAGTACTGATGCCACCTCTCCCATGAAGCATTCCCTGATTCCCTATTCCTCCTCTCTAAGAAAGTAATCACTTTTCCCCTAGTGTAACTTTAAAGAGCAATGATTTAGCACCTGGGGAACCCGAACAACACAGATTTAGAGCTAGAAGAGCCCTTAAGGGACATAAAATGCAACCCCCTCATTTTACACGACGACACCGAGGCCAAGAGAGGCAAAACAACTTGCCAAATGGTCACCCAGCTAACAAATGTCTGAGGCAGGATTCCAACTTAGGTCTAACCACTGTACCACCTGGCTGTCCATCATCTTGTACTATACTTGCTGGTTTATATCCTGCACGCCCCTTCTAGAATATGAGCTCCAGGAGGGGAGAGGATGCCTCTTCTTTGTACCCAGTCCAGGGTTGGCTGAGGTTCTCCATCATCATTCTGCTGGTTTCCTAAACTCAATTATTTATACCTCTTCTCTCTCCTTACTTCCATGTCCCACTAGTTAAGAAATCTAGGGGGAACAATGATAGCACCTCTCTATAGGGCTGTCGAGGGGAATCCAATGAGAGCCCTGGAAAGGCTGGCTCTTAGCGCCGTTATGAAGTTCTTACCACCCCTACTGCTTTAGCGGCCCTTCCTCGGCCCGCTGCCAGCTCTCCCCTCTGCCTCCAACTTCTTCCTGCTCTGGACGAGCCTGCCTGAGTGACGCGACAGGGCTCAGCAGAGGACATTCTTTAATCCCGTGGCTCTCCTTTCCAAGAACTTGGAATCCCCACTTTTTAAGCTGGCGTTGAGGGAAGCCCATTAGCCAGCACCCACCAGGCCCCCTCCCTCAGCTCTCATCTCTGCTTTAGCTACATTTAGAACACCGCACTACCCTTTTCTCCGATATATTTCCATCATTTCCTATAAATCTCAGTTTAAAGTTATATTTCTCTAGGAAACTTTAATTGTCTAGTGTTATCCCACACTGACTTCTTTTATTCTCCCTTCACTTAGCATTATGGACTGAGCCTGAATTCTATTCCTTTCTCCTTATGGACACATTACTTTTTAAGTTATTATCATGTCTTTTCATTCCTTAACTGTAAGGAATCTTACTACCATTTTTGTATTCCCTAGCACAGCGCTCAGTACTGTGTTCTGCATCTCATAGGTAATAATAATATTAATAACGACGATGACGATTTTAGCAACTAAAATTTACAGAGCACCTACTCTGGGCCAGGCACTGTGCTAAGTACTTCAGAGGCTGGCTGGCTAACAGAAGGCTCTCACCTCTCCCTCCTGGAATGTTCCCGCGCCATCTCCCTCCTTTTCTGCCTCTCCCATTCCCGCCGTGCTTTATCCTGCTCCTCCCGGTGCCGTTTCCGCCGCTCATGTTCTCGCTCCTTCTCTTTCACCCTGGCATGCTTCCCTGATGAGGGGAAACATCCTGTCACACTCGTAGGAATACACTGAAGTTCCAGGAACTTAATTTAAAATGTAAATTACAGCACATGAATAAGCGACTCCCTTTGATTAGAGTCTTCTTTTATGTGATCAGGGCCTTGACTCAGATTTCTAACCAAAATGTCAGTTAATAAATCCCATCTCAAATGCAGTCCACAGTAAGTCTTCTTCAATACCCCCCTGCCTACCCCACGGGCACACGCACACGCACACACACACACACACACACACACGCGCGCGCGCGCGCATCAGAATCATTTTAGAACTCCCCAGGTTCTCTGGCACACTCCCCTGCCTTTCATGTCCTACTTGGTGCATGCCACAAGACACAGAGCACTACAACAGGGGCTGGGCCCAGGCTCAAGCTCCAGCTGTGCCGCTTCCTGTGTGACCCTGGATAAGTCACAACTGCTTCAATCCCTTCAGTTTCCTTGTCAGGAAAAAACAGATAATAATTCCTGCCCCGGCTCTCTGCTTCAAGGCTCAATTAAGATAATGAAATGCAATGCAATAATGGAAACACTTTGTAAATTGTAAAGTGTTCTATAAATGGAAGACAGCCTGCTTGGCAACAAGACTGACCACAAAGCTGACCAACCCACAGGAGGAGCCAGAGCAGGCCAGCGGACACAGAGGGGAGAGGGCGCACAGCACTGTCCATTCTGGTCTCTGGTCCATGCATCTGATGGATCACTGTTCTCACTGACAAGCGACAACAAATGGAACGTGAATTATGATTATTAAATCGGCTCAATATTAAGCGGCAGAGATGGGAGTGGGGACTTCTATACTCTGAACCAAATAAATTTTACCCGATCAAATCATACCCAGGGACAAAGCAATACAAAAATAACAGGGAAAAACTCTGCGAAGGGATGAGGGCCCACCTCTCCAGAATGCCCTAGGGAAGAAAAGTCTGAAGGGAAGAAGAAGCTAATGTCAAAGTGATGGGCGCGCAGAAGGAAAACAGTTCTGTACCTCCCTCTGCTGAGTGACTGCGATGCCGCCGTTTCTCTTTCCTCTTCTCATCTTTCCTGTGATGAGCTTTCTCTTTACGTGACATTTGCTGGGGGGGTTTGATAGCCAAGGAGTCATCTTCTTCACCTCTAAGATTACAATGCAAAACAGCGGTCACTCCATGCGCAACAGGTGCACTTATTAAAACAGCACACAATTAACAGCTTAATTACGAGCACGGCCACAAACTACATAAAAAGAGCAGCAGGCACGGCCTCCCTCTGCCATGGAAATGAAGGTGAGGCAGCGGTTAGTCAGGATGTGAAACCTGAAGTCACAGCAAAAATGTATTTCTATAGGGCACAGGTCACATGAAAAGGTACGGACAAAGCCAACCGGGTATACCAAGCGAAGTCCCCAGAACACAAGTCTTCCAAGCAGGCGGAACATCTGAGGAGCTCCTTTCTAGCCCCTACTGCTTCTAGCCCTGGCGGGGGAAGCACCACCATCAAGGTTTCTTCCCACTTGACTAAGGGGGGGATGGGTGCACAGTGGAGGGGAAGCACCCTATACCAGGACAGCAGGCTTCTGGCCCTGCTGCCGCCCTGACAAGCGACACAGCCTCCGACAAGGTGTGCAGCTGCTCTGGCTCTCGCTTCTCTCATCCTGTAGTTGGAAAGGTTAGTCTAGAAGAACCTATGGCTCCTCCAAAAATCCTGCAGCACTGTGAACACCAACTTCTATCCAGGCCTCTCAGTGGTGTGGTGGAGAGAATGCCAGGCTTGGAGTCCAGCCCCAGATATGTACTAGCTCTGAGACCTTAGGCAAGTCACTTAATCTTAATCTGTCTCAGTTTCCTCATATGTAAAATGGAGATGATAATAACAGCACTTATCTCCCAGGGTTCTTGTGAAGCTCAAATGAGATCTATATAGAGTGCTTAGCATAGTGCCTGGCACATAGGAGGTGCTATGTAAATGCTAGGTACTATTTATCAAAAAACACATATTAAGTGCCTACTATGTGCCTGGCACTGTGCTATCCCACTTCACTTCAGGTTGCTAGTCACTCCACTATATTTATGATGCCAAGAATCAGAAAAACTTGAATAGTTTATGATTTAAAAAGCTCTTTCCCTATAATAACCACGTGAGGGGGCAATATGGGTATTATCCTATCTCTTTTATAGAATGGACACTGAGGCTCATAGAGGGTGATTGGCCCTCTCTCCAGAACAGCACGGCTAATAAAGGTAGGAGCAAGTATAAGAACAGGGTCTTTCAAATCTAGGACCAATGCTTCCAGGTCTCCTTTGCTGGCTACATTCACCTCATCAATTCCTATGAGCACTGGCCCTTGAAAGAATATGCCAGTAAAGCAAACTGGTACCAAGTTGGCAAAACAACAGCCTTGCTCAGGCAATCTTTCCCATTTTTCCTATGAAATTGGAATCAATACATTATCATAAAATATGGTAACTGTTACCGTTTAATCTACATCTAATTTCACATTCAGTCGACAGCCTGCCTCTGACGCTCACTAGTGAGGTGACCCACCTTCTGTTTCCTCATCTGTACAATGGGGATGACGGTACCTGCAGGACCTATCCCATAGATTATGGCTTAAAGGAAGTACACGTGAAGAGTGCTTTCCAAGCTTCAACACGCCATATAAATGCCAACGGTTGTTTTTATTTTTAGATCTTCAAGCATGGAAGAGGTGGGTAATTTAGGAGAAGCCACATAATGACTCAGTTCTAAACATGAAATTTAGACTAGCCATCAGTCCCCAAGGTGGACCTTTTCAAAGCAATACTTAGCAACTCTAGCTTGACTGAAAGAGCCGGCCTGACAAAGGCCCCTCCACCAGACTTCCATCCAGTTTCAGGGAATGAGGACGCTGCCCATTTACCTGTCTTCCATAGAATCTTCCCTCCTGTAAGGTGAATTCCTGATCGTTATCTCCATGCGGTGATCTCTCAGCTCCCCCTCTTCAAGGGAATCCCGCTTGGAATCCCGATCATCAGACTAAAAGGAAAACAGAAAGAAAAAAAAACCCCGACCATTTTATTTTTTGAAAAATGACATTCAGGTTAGCTTCATCAATGACCTCAGACACAAAGTTTTACACAAATTTCAATGGGCCAATAAAATACAAAAATCAAATTCTTTCATTAGGGGCATATGATGTCTCTCAGTGCCTGCACCCTCGTACTGCAGGACACTGTGTAAGTCCTAAGAAGCCAGTGCATATGTTCTGCGGTAGTCAGTGAGACAGCTGTTCGTGAGCAACGTTCGTGAGCATTTGGTCCCATGACAGAGGCAGCGTTTCTCTTCTTCTACAGTTACCAACTAGATTTCTAGACACCGCATACATAGAGAAGAAAGCTAGAGAACGTATAAAGCTCTACGGTGTGCATGGTACTGTGCTGCATTCAATAAATACTTAAATGAAGGTGGCATTCTACATGACAGATAGTGTCAACTTACTGAAGAGCTCTTCTGAGCATGTTATCTTGCAAACTAATAGAGATGTTAATTTCTCAAAGCAATATTTTATCAATATTTATAAACAGAATTATTTGTAAGTGTGAGCATGAAAAGAATTAAGAACATTAATCCAACTGCACTTTAAAATATTCAATAATTATGTTAGGTCCCAAATATTTTATTCTCCAAACAAATCTTCATGTAGCATAAGGGTTCTTAACCTTTTTCTGCGTCATGGACCCCTTTGGTAGTCTTGTGAAGACTATGGACCCTTTCTCAGAATCACGTTTTTAATGCACAAAGTAAAATACATAGGATTACCAAAAAAATAGTATCAAAATGGTTATAAAAATCTTTTTAAAAAAATGTTCAAGAACCCCAGGTTAAGAACCCCTGATCTAGAAATAGCTTTAGTTTTGTTATCTTTGAGATAAACTGAGAAATCAGATGGGGTTTTGGGAACTTTTTAAAGAGACTTTGGCTCACCTGTGACATTTGGAAGTACAAAACCACTTCACCGAAGAAGCGAGGTTCTAATGGAAAAATGAGTGCAAAGACATTAAACTTCCTTTTTACAAACCATTGACTTGACAAAAGTGGCTTACATTTTTTATGCGTTTTATCTCTGCCTTCTCTTCTTGTTCCTTCCTTCGCTTCTTTTCCTGAAGAATTTCATCTAAAGTTTTCACTTTCCAAGAATCCTTTTCATCACCCATTTGAGTTAAGACACACTGAAAGAAGAAAACATTTGAAAAGCATGAAAGAGAAGCTACGCACAGCCCAGCATGGCTGGAGACACTTCCCACCCCGATGAAATAGCTGTTTGTGGGCAGCATGAAGGCTGACGCTTTGCTGGAAGAGCCTGGAACACGCCCCAGGTCCCACTAAGTCAGTGCTCAGGAGCCCTCGGCCCCTGTGAGCGCCCACAGTCCTCTGAGGAAGGGGAGGTAAATCAGGGCAGGGATGAAGCAATCTAAAGATGACCCCTCTGGATGCAGCGCAGAGCGAGGCTGTGGATGATACCAAAGAGTGTCAGGGAAGGATTTCTACTTCTCAGCCTCTCTCCTAACAGCCGCTGAAGAGAGGGCTTTCTAGACGTCCACTTATTTTACAAACTGGATCTGTCCTCTAACCCTGCCCTGGGTTCTCCTGCCTCCCTGTCTGTGCAGACTCTATTCTTTATGCCAAGAATGTCCCCCACACTTCTTTGCCTGCTGAATTCCTATCCCTCCTTAAAGTCCCACTAACACCTTCTCGAGGAAGCTTTTCCTGAAAACCCTATCATAGGATCGCAGACTTACAGCCGAAAGAGAGCTTCAAGACAACTAGTCCAGCCCTTTCATTTTATAGGTGAGAAACGAAGGCTTAGAGAGGGTACCCAAGGTCACACAGGAGCTAAGTGGTACAGTGGATGGAACGCTGGGCAGGAAGACCTGAGTTCAAATCCAACCTCAGGCTGGACACACTGGTCACACACTAGCTGTGTGACCCTGGGCAAGTCACTTAACCCTGTCTGCCTCCGTTTTCCTCATCTGTAAAATGGGGACAATAACAGCACCTATCTCTCAGAGTTGTGGTGAGGATTAAATGAGATAATAATTGTAAAGCACTGAGCACAGTGCCTGGCACATAGTAAACACTACATAAATATTAGTTATTAGTGTTACGATAAATGGTATAGATGAGATCCAAACCCTGGTCTTCCGGCTTCAAATCTGCTGCACAATCCACTGTACCTTGCTTCCTCTACTAGAGCAACAAACTTTCCCCTGAGACTTAATGTAGTACTCTAGCTAGGTGGCACAGTGGCTAGAGCCCCAGACTTGTAATTAGGAAAAACTGGGTTCTATTCCAATACCGTGATGAAATCCTACCCCACACATTTACTAGATATGCAACCCTAGGCAATACACTTAATGCTTTGGAGCCTTAGGTTCCTCACTTGTAGGGGAAAATATAGTACCTACCTCACAGGGCTGGGGGCGGGGTGGGGGATGGGGGTGTGTACGTACAAATCTATACTGAAGTGCCTTGTGAACCACTATAACAATTAGCTATTATCTTTTATGTTTCTCTAATGTATTTATCACATCTTATAATGTTAATACACACAAACCCACCAATCACCAGAAAGCTGGCTGGAGAGTGATCAATTCTAAGGCCACAGCAATTCGGTAAGTTTAGCTTAGCTTCATCAACTTTCCCAGACTCCAAATTTTACACAAATTTCAATGAGATGTGTCCACTGAAAAAATTTTCCTTGCCTCTAAAATAATAATACATAACAGCATTTACCCTAGGTACTACAGATGCATTTAAAAAGCATTACAGTATTAATACCTTAATTACAGACATGGCCAGGAAGGGTGGAAATCACAGATCTTTGAGGTATTCATGTAGCTACACAGTCAGAAGGCCTAGGTTCAAATTCCAGCTCTGCCACTTACTATTTTTGTGACCTTGAACATAACTGGGCCTCCGGTTTCCTTATCTGTAAAACTAGGAAACTGGACATTCTAACATCTCAAGTCCCTCCTGGCTTTCTCTATGATCCTGGGATTCTAGTTATCTGTGTTTGTATCTCATTTCATTACTTGACAGTAAGCAAGGACAAGGGCTGTGTGATATCTAAACTTTCTATTTCCTCCAGAGCCCAGCACTGGGCTCCACAAAACAGCAACTCAATAAATGTTTGCTGAACATTTGAACTGAGACCCTGGAAGGATAAACTTTGTCATTTATTTGAACGTCAGATCTGGAAGGGACCTTGGAAACTTTCTAACTTTCCAAGTATCATCTCATTCACGTCCCACAACAGTCTTAGGGAGGCAGATGCTACCTGGATTCTCATTCCCATTTTCCAGATGAGGAAGCTAAGGCCCAGAGGTTAAATGATTTACCCAGTGATTAAGTGCCAGAGGCCGGCAGCTCCTCCATCCCAAAAGGAGGAGTGGGGGGCGTGGTGGAGGACGGTGGCTTGGCCATCAGTGATAGAAACTGTGCCGGATGCCAGAAGCAGAGCAACAATGACAATTCCAAAGGTTTGCAGAGCCCCCTACGATACGTTGTCTCCCTTGGTTCTCAGTCACCCTGCGAAGTCAGCACCGCGGGGGTTATGAGACTCACTGCACAGGTGGGGAAACTGAGGCTGAGAAACAAGCATTCTTTTCCCCATTTGATAGATGAGGAAACTGAGCTTCAGAGATGTCAAGCCGCTTGCCCAGGGTCACACTGCGAGCGCAGGAGGTCAAATTCGAACCCAGATCAGGCGCCTTACTCGCTATGCCATCCCACCTCACTTTCTCGAGCCCCTAAGCAGCGACATTCCCCGGCGGGCGGGCCACGGGCCCAGGGGACAAGTGGCGTCCCGCTCTGGGCCTCGGTTTCCTCATCTGTAAAATGGGCCACTCGGCGGCCCCGAAGGTTGCTTCTGGTCGGAGGGCTCGGAGCCCACGCGGGGGAGGGGGGGCGGGAAATCTCTCCACGGAGGTCTGGAGGCGGGCCCGGCCTCGGCCCCGCCACAGGCCCCGCGCCCGGACCCGCCCTGAGCGGCGGACACGAAGAACGGCAGGCAGACTCGCGGGCCCCCTGGGGGCGAGGCCACCCAGGACGGGCATCTCCCCACCAGCCCCGGGCCCAGACACTTACCACCGCGCCTGCCGCCACCGCCGCCACCGCCGCCGCCACCGGACCCGGAGACTGAGGAGAACCAGCATCGGGCGCGGGAGAAGCGCGTCACTTCCGGCCGCGACGCGGGCCGGTGACGTCAGGGAGCGCGGCGCGGCGCGGTGGGGAGGGGGGCGGGAGCGGGGAGCAGCGCCGAGGGCCAGCACGCGCTCCGCCAGCCGCACTTTCGCCACGGGCGTGTCCTCCACTTAGGGGTGCGAGCACGCGGATGCCGCACGTGAAGCCCCTTCGGGTTGGATACATTCCCCCCAGCCTCCCCGAAAAAAAAAATAACTTTTTCCAGCAGGAGTGGCTGCAGCGGCCGGGAATCTGCGGGCACATCTGGATGCAGCCCGGAGCCGCGGGTGGCAAAGCTGCGGCGCCTCTGGCCTCGAACCCCCACGTCGCTGCCTCTTCCCGGCTCCCCGCCAGGCGCGGGAAGGGGCTGGTTTGCACCCCCTCCCCCAACTCTCTCCCATTCCGGGTGCAGTGGGAAGATAGCTGGCTTTGGAGCTCCGCCTCTGAAAGTCATTGAACCTCCGGGCCTCAGTTTCCTCATCCGTAAAATGGGTCGGCTGGACTTGCTGGCCCCGTGCAGATCCCCCAATCTCCAATACTTCTAATCATGCCGCTCCAGCCAGAGAGCCTGGGGAGAACCGAGGAGAGCTGTACTTTTGGGGGGGCGCGGGCGGAGAGGCAGCAAAAACGGGGTGCTGCAGATCTGCCACCCCCAAAGGAGCTGGTTTTCCTGTTTCCTCATGCAGGAAGATGCCCTTCCTTCAAACTTGATACCTGGCTGTGTGATTCACTTAACCTCTGCCTCAGTTTCCTCAACTGTAAAATGAAGACAAGAACAGCACCCACTTCCTGCCCAGGGTTGTTGTAAGAATCAAATGAGGTACCATTGTAAAGTCCTTTGCATACTGCCTGGCATATGGAAGGTGCTTAATAAATGCTTTTTTTCCCTTTCTTCCTAGAGTTTTTTTTAAAAGGGCTGTACTGCTACAGAAATTAATCAACCAATAAACATTTATTAAGCACCTTCTATGTGCCAGGCACTGTGCTAAGTGCTGGGGATACAATAAAAAGCAAAAGACAATCCCTGCCCTCAGGGACCTTATAATCTAATGGGGGAGACAAACACATGTATACAAAGGATAAATAGGAAATAATTATAGGGAAGGCACTGGAATGAAGAGGGGTCGGGGATGATTTCCTTTAGCAGGAGGTACTTTAGTTGGGACTTAAAGAAAGCCAGGGAAAGACTAAGAGAAATATATAGCTATAGATATACACACACACATATATATAAATAACATAACAAATGTATTAGCCAATCAGCTATTTTTCTAATATGTTTGTATTTCAAGGCTTGGTTTTTTTGGGGGTTTTTTTTTTTTGTAACAAAAGGATAGGAAATTCATGGCTGAAGAATCAGAGAATCAGTTTGGAGGGTACCTAAGATCCAATCCCAGCAATAGACCAGAGGTATCAAATGGGGCCCATGTCTGTTTTGCAGCCAAACTAGATTAAAATGCAACTGGGAAAAATGAACAAAATAAATAAAAGTGAACATGGTTAGCATGTGGTTTTCTAGGTCTCTATGTGGCCTGTAGGGATCCTTATCTACCATTTCTGGCTGAGTTTGACATTTCAGTTCTACACTATTCCACAAGGAACCTTCCAGTTGTTGCCTTAAAAGTCCTTCAGGAAAGGGCAATTCACTCCACTTCTGGACAACTCTCACTGTTAGAAAGAAAAGTTTTAACCTTAAACAAACTGAAATCTGCCTCTCTTAAAATTTCCATCCACTGTTTCTATTCTAGGGTGAAGAACAAGGCTAATCCCTCTTCTGCAAGACCCCCTTTGCAATATTCAAAAACAGTTATCACAGCCTCCCTCATTCATATCCTCAGTTCTTTCAGGTCCTCCAGTCCCCTACTGCCATCTTGGTGACCCTCCTTTGGACATGGAGCTGTCTGTCAACACATATCTGAAAACGAAGTGCCCCGAATTGAATAACAGTAACACTCCAGAGGTGCACTAACCAGGGCAGAGAAGAGACAAATCTATCGGTGCCTAAGTGGACAGAAATTCTTTAATTTAGGTGAAGGCTGCTGTGCGAACAGCCGGTCTCTTGGTCCATCACTTGAAGATGGAAACCATAGGGGCAAGGTATGTTCTCTGGAAGTCATACATAACTTTGCACCAAACTGGGGGAGGCTGAGGGATTGGCTGATATGCGCTGAGTCAGGGGGAAAATTTAGCCCCTTTCTTTTTGGTCCGCTTATAAAATCTTCCCCATCTGGAAAGATGTCTATTGGCACAAACTATCGGGAATATAGTCTAAATTCTTTCAGGTTTGGTGGATTCTTTTCATTGTGTGAACTGGAAAATCACCAAGAATCCAACTAGGATAACTATAGCAGAGAAGGCCCCCAAGTGGAATACAAAATCAAAGACCAAATCGAGAAGCACAAATATCGATTTTATTTTACTTTTCCAGAACAATGCTCATGGAAAGAAACTAACCCATCTGTTTTACTCACAACAAAAGAACAGCCAAGAGGCATCCACAGGATTTATTACACAGTTATCAACCTATTACCACATGGAAGAATTAAAGGGACGAACCAAATCACGGATGACTAACATCTTATCCAAAGCAACGAACTTAGTTACAGAAATACTGCAAGAGGCGATGTAGAAAATGCACAGAAGACCTACAAACGTCTTGTACAGTGTGGTTTTTGTCCTACACATTTGGGTTTGGTTTAAGAGTTTGGCTCAAGTGTAGAAGACATAGTTACTGTTGCTATTTTCAAGTTTCTCAAAATGGAAAACTCACTATTTTATTTTAAAAATAATTCCCATTTGTACACAGGGACACTTAGATAACTGTGGAGGGGGGGGGGGCAAGTCTGGACCTCAGAACTCCCTTGTTGGCATTGGAACAGCACAAAGGATTGATTTTCTTGCTCAATAGTGGTGTGGATGTCAACTGGTGCGGCTTCCCTGGTTTCCAAGAAGCTCTGAATCTTTCTGCAAGCACAGTGGCTTAAGGCAAATTCTTAAATGTTCTCTTTCTTTCTCTCCAGCATGACTTCCTCTTTAGCCTCTAGCCAGACCAGGCAGAATACTGCACATGGCTTGACTCTCACAGGTAACAATTTAAAAAGAGTCAAGCATGATACAGCACTTAGGATTTGAGATCAAGCCACAGACCACTGAAGTGCAAAGGCTTTAATTTGCTTAAGACTCACAGCCCCAGGAAAACAAAAACAAAACGCACTGGTCGAGCAAACATAGCCGGGATGGGATATGTGTGGGCTTCCCCTGGATCAAGTGAACAAACCAAACAGCTGTTTCTTGGCTGGGCCCCCATTCAGGTAAGGATGCTTATTCTGAGTGAGCTGTTTGTTGGTGGCTTTGCTGAGTTAAGCAACCCTCGTTTATGGCTGTTTGGGGAACTTGGGAGCCCTCGGCATACCATCCCAGATGGAAACTGGTGATTAAAAGTGCTATGTAAACACCCATTGTCAAACCCACAAACTATGGCTCCCTTCCTGTACAGCGCTCATCAACTAATCTGGCCCCGGTGACCCTGGAGTCAGGCTCTGTGCCCTTCCTCGCAGAGAGTACTGGTTTTTTATTGGCCTTTTCATCTTATGTCTAAATGGTGGCTCAGCTCACCAACATCTATTTAAGAGGTTGACATCTTGAAAGTTACAAAGCTTGGCTGTGGTGTCCCAAATTAAAATGGGGAAAAGGCGTTCTAGAAGACAGATCAGGAATTACTTGTTTTTTGGGTTTTTTTTTTCCAGATAAAATGTAGGTATCTGGGCAAAGCACCCATCTCACCATTCTGAACTCTAAGTGAGGAAGAAACCAGTGCTCCTAAGGCAGCCAGAGGGTGGCGCACCTGTAAAGGAAAGCTGCTGCCATGACACATGGCGCCAAGATGCTCTGAGCCTCTCAGTTCACTGCTCCTCGGCTGACAAAGAGAACAACAAAAAGATAAACAAAACCATGCCACCCCCCGAGGCTGGAATTCAGAGGCTCAACTAACTGTATCCAATAAGAGAAGGAAGGGCCCAAGGCCAGGAAATCGGCAGATCAACTTTGAAAACACCAACCCCTTAGCTCTGGGTTGGCTTAAAGCAAGAAAGAAATGATCTCCAGTCCATAATCATACTTTTGTGTTAACTTTCAACCTGAGGAAGCAAAGGAAATACTTTCTGGCCTCGAGTCACAGCATCATTGCCAAATGCAAAAGCCATAAAGTACTTCCTTTAACGTTACAACTGACCCAAACATTTTCCTGTGGGACAACTCAAATCAAAATGTAGGTGTAGAATAGAGAACCCAATGGCATGAAATATCTTTTAAAATTGATGGGGGTTGGGGACGGAAGGGGTGTAAAGGACAACTTTCTTTGATACATTCTTGACATAGTTCTGACCGCCATGTTGTGCTGTCTTTAAAATCAAAAAGACACCTGTGAGGGTCCTCAACACTGTAGACATGCGAAACTACAGCTCATAGGAAATCATGAATAAAATGATCACTGGAATTTTAAACAAAAGCTTTCTATGCCAACTGTGTGTGCTGGAGGGGAAAAAAAAGGAAAGAGATGGGCCAGTCTTATGGTGAGGGTGAAGGATGTGGTAGCAACATCAGTTAAATTTGAGGAAGGTCTCCAGCAGGGTTGCTCCCCTGTGCCTGAAACATTCTATGAGGTCACGGGCACTGGACAGTATAGGCGAGCTAAATTAACACACTGGATATCCACACTGAGAAGACCAAAGATACATCCATTGAAATCTACATGCCATAAGAATGCACGTCTTCATAGACTGAAGAACTTTATAGAACTCCACACCTGTTAAGTTTTTTCTGCTTTTTTTTGGTTTGTTTTATAATTAGGGGTGGGAGAGGCACAGAGATTACATTTCATCAGGTAGGGAACTCTTGGTGTGGAAGCTCCTTTCACCAATGCAGGCGGGCTACTCATTTGTTGTTGTTTTTTGTTTTCAGG